TCCTGTGTTATTTTTATCTAACCTGACACAGGAATCGACGGTTAGAAGTTTGTAAACGAGTTCTGCAGCTTTTGAGACGTTTCCGCAGTAATCTCTTATGTCATATCCCAGGGAAATGTTTGAAAGAAAGTTTGTGTCATTGTTTATTCGTTCGATGGCGAAGATCATGGCCTGTGCGCGACCAAGTCGTCTCCCAAGGCGGCTGGCGTACACTAAAAGTCCACCTAACATGATAGTGCCTTGTTTGTAAGCAGCCTGAACAGCAGCACAGATGCAGAAGAAAATAATTAACTTGTCATACCACACACTCATGGCGAAGACAACCTCTTTTCCTTGTTGGGGTACCCAAGAGATAGATGTATTCTGGTGATCAGTAACTTCCTATGTCTTAATACACAGCAGTAGAGTACTCTTGTTGCACTACAATTCCGAAACCAAGTTTAACTTTAGACATGACGGCGAATAATTACCTCTTTATCAACTTTTAGATCATTTTATTTATAAACTGTTGTANTGGTAGCCCGCTTGAACGACGGAAACAGGGTAACCACGTTTATCGAAGAACTGGCACATTGACTCTGATTTGTGGTGGAAATCAGAGACATCACTACATAAACGACGAAGTCTTAGAAACTGAGAAAAGGGAATGGAATTCTTAACGTGAGATGGATGCGAAGACGAATATAACAAGTAATTATGCGAGTCTGTAGGTTTGTAATACACACTAGTACATAAACCGTTACCTTCCCTGAAATATACTTGGGAAATTTCTGACAATTCTTTATCCTTTTTAGACGTCAAAGTTTCAATTGAAGGTAACGGTTTATGCACTAGTGTGTATTACAAACCTACAGACTCGCATAATTACTTGCTGTATTCGTCTTCGCATCCATCTCACGTTAAGAATTCCATTCCTTTTTCTCAGTTTCTAAGACTTCGTAGTTTATGTAGTGATGACTCTGATTTCCACCACAAATAAGAGTCAATGTGCCAGTTTTTCGATAAACGTGGTTACCCTGATTCTGTCGTTAAAGCGGGTTACCACCCCGCCCAACTTATTGATCGACATTCAGTACTACAAATGTCACAAAAGGAAGATTCCGACCGCATCCCATTCACTCTCACTTTTCACCCTCACAACCACTCAGTTAAATCCATCATTCTCAAAAACTTTAAATTACTTCAAAACGATCCGGAGACAAGCACTCTCTCTTCGCAGCCTCCGCTCATTTCATTCAAACGCGACAAAAACAGGCATTTTTTCGGTCAGAAGTTCTTCTCAGACTAATGACCAACCAGGCACTTTTAAATGCGCTCGTGTACGTTGCAAAACGTGTCCTTTTACTCACAACACTGAGAAAATATCGGAACCCAAACGATCCATTAAGATAAGATCACCGATCACTTCACGTGCACCTCCTTGATGGAACGAGTAAACGAATGTCGAGAAAACTAACATTAGTGAAACGAGTGTCCAACTACTAAAATGAATATCCAACTATTAAAACGAATTGAATGTCGATTTACAAAAAAAAATTTCGGATTTAAAATACGAGTGAAACAGTTGAATTTTGGTAAGCAGCACCACAGTTTCTTTAGAAACTTACCGTCTTTATTTACATGTGAATTTGCATGGCTTTACTAGCAGTTTTCGGTATGACTTGGAGAAAGTGGGAACTTACCCGCGACTCCCGTTATTAATTAACAGCGGTCATATACGCATCTATCAGAAATGCCACCTGCCAAACTAACAAACACTGAAGTTGTGATGAAGGCTCTGGAACAAGAGACAAGGCATTATCTATCACCGGGGAAGGGGGTGTTCTAGGATTTTGGGGAACTGAGGGGGCATCAGAGTCGCTAACTGAGTAGTCAGTGATTGAGCTGAATAATGGAGTGTTAGGTCACAGATATGCGGTCAAAATTGCGGGCTTAAGCGTGCGAGGTTTAAAATTTAGCGAAATTTGCGAAAATAGTAAGGAGCTGGAATTTAAAACCGAGCCATTTTGTCGAAATCATTTTCCTATTTCCAAAGTTCTTAAGGAGAAAGTTCATTTTAGAAAATATTTAGGGGTTATACAAAGTTTTTGAAGATTGTTCTGCAAAAGAAAAGCGGCAAAGAAAACAACGCCTCCAAGCAACAGACTAGAAAATCAACCGTGCGAGTGACTCAAAATCCGTTTTTCCGCGCCAAACCCTAGCGCTTGCGCACACCTTATTTAGCTCTGTCGTAGTCAGTATTGACAATGGAAATTGACGGTGATGAGCAGGGACCATTAGAATGATGCAGAGCCTCATTGGGAGATCAGGTAAATTTATTGACACAACCCAAATCCTCCGACGCCCCAGGCAATGATTAATATTCCGTCCTGCAGGAGCAAATGTTTTTTTTAATTAGCCTGGCCAGAAACATATGTTGCGGAAACAAGTTCAGTCTATTCTAGGAAAAAAGACAATTTTTTTGCCTTAGGTCATAAAAATTTTTTCGCTTCCAAGATACAAATTGTCTTTTAAAAGGGTATCTTCCAGTATAGCCAAAATGAGAGCAAGGTTGACTAGTTTTCAGTGTTTTTCATCAAGAATAAGAAAAAAATCCGGGGCAGTGTAGTGCTGTTAGGCATTGATACCTATTGCAAGGTGCTAACGGTTCAGCTATGAATATATTTGCAATGCAACATTGCTTAAAAGCATGAATTTTCCTCACTCATAGATTCATTTCTTTCTTTATTTATAAGTCTATGACACACACATAAAGTGATATTAAGATCGTCTGTAAGGAGCCTAAACTACAGCGCAGAGGCAGGAGAAAAAAAACAACTAGTAACGCGACGAACTCATAGCCTGATACTCCTCTTTTCTCATTTTTCTTGTTCGCGAACCTAAGGCACCAGGTTTTTTTTTTTTTTCTTTACTCAGGTGTATTTTACTCACGTGGTAGCGATTGGTGGCTATTTATTTTAATCCGCCGGCATATGTGAATTATCCTTAATGGACTACAGTTCAAAAATCGAATTTAAATTTAGGTATAAAAACAAATAGTTTTTTCTTTTTTTAATTGATTTTTAGGTCGTTTTATTTCTAAATTATTAATCATGGGTGAGCATTATGACAAAAGTGTTTGGATTTAAAATGATCCAAGATACGGCAGCAACAAGCTTTATGACAAAAGAAATCAAAGAAATATAAGCTACCGGTCTTTTTTTTTTATTATTAATTAGTCTCATGTTTAAAACAGCGAAATTATGATTATTTTGATTATTTTGATTATATCAACTAAGTTGAAATTGTAAATTAGCCACCGTAAAGAGTTCTTTCCTTCAAAATTATGCGTGAACTTTTAAGAATTAGTGAACATCGCAGTTCTTGTATAATATTTATGACATCGATCCCGAGACTTTATTACAATAAGGAATTGTGTTTCTTTTATTTTCAGTCCCAACATCGTCGCAGCCCTTTCTAGTGGAGTATTTTATTCGTACACAGTCACTGTTCAGAAAGAAACCGAGGAACGTAGTGTTCATCCAATCCGCGACAGTTAACAGTTGCCCGTTGGCACAAGGATATGAATTGAGTTCTTCATAACAGGTATGTTAAATTCTTAATGACATGAATTGTGCCAAGCCGTAGACGCAATGTCTATGTAATTAAAGGCTCATATTACCTTACAATGTGGGTGCCTAACCAACTTGCTGGTTTTACTTTTGCAGCTTGTTTTTCTTTCCTTTTTATCTTTCCCTTAATCTTTGTTTTTACCTTGGGTAGGTGGCGTGTTCTTTGGGATTGCGTTGCAACCAAGAAATGGTGTTAAATGCACGAAATAATTGAAGACTGCGATCAAATCGATTATAAAAGTTAGCAGGTGCCAAGTCGTCATGGATGATCCTTGTAAAAGTTTTTATGACTTTCATGATCATTTTGTAACCTGAATAGAGCAGTATGTGATCAAAATGCAAATGAACAAAAATTATTCACATCGGAGAAAATTGTGTTTTATAAAAAATTCCGTTTTCCATGTGTGGTTCACGTTTTGGTTCAGTTCAGTATTTCTTTTAAAAATTACATCCGCTGATTGCTGTAAACCTGTTTTCTGCCTTTTGGTTCTTGAATGTTGGCTCTTTCATTTTAGTTTTGTATTATAATGGTTTGTTTCGTTTTGGCTTTTTGGTTCTTTTTTTTTTGTATTTAATTTGTATTTCTGCTTGCAATGTTTGATTATTTGGAGCTCTGCGCTGCCATTTCGTGAAATTAAATACCTGACTTGAATACTTGGTTCTTTCTAAGAATGGATGTACCTAATTGACCTACTCTTTGGTTCTTCTGTGCTTTTTTTTAGGCATTCATTTTTTCGAAAATGTTCTCGAAACGAAATAAAATTGTATCCTACACAGGAAGTTCATTTCGATTGTCCCTAACTTGCAATATATTAATGAGTAGTTTAAATGATAAAACGATCGTTTTATTTCGAACTACTCACTAAACTCATAAGTACACAAGTAGATGTGTGCTACATTTCCGAAAATGTTCTCGAAATTAGTTAAGCCTTCGACAAAGGAAGATCATTTCGAATGTCACTAACTTGTAACTTGAGAAGTTAAATGCAAAAACGATCCTTTTATTTCGAACTACTCATTGAGTTTAAACGCACAAGTAGATGTGTGTTACACTTCAGAAAATGTTCTTGTAATTAGTTATGTCTACCACACAGGAACATCTTTTCGAATGTCATTAACGTGTCACATATTAATGAGCAATGTCAATGATAAAACGATCGCTTCATTTCAGACTACTCATCGAGTTCATAAACACACAAGTGGATATTGTACTGTCAGAAAAAAAGACTTAAGTTTGAGCTGATGTTCAACACGAATACTTTGCCTATGCGAGGTGATTTCATAATTCATTGATCAATAGCATAGGCGCAAAATAATCCTAAGCGTAAACACTCAATATCTATGCTTGGCGTTTGCTAACAAGGAGAAGGAGAGGAGAGGCATATTGCCATGAGCTCCTCGCTTTACCAGGTGTTAATTTTTTTCTTCTTTTATACTGCCGCTCGTGCTCCTTACAGAGAAGGTGATATTATGTTAGGCGGACTTTTCAATGTACACCAGCAGCCAGAAAATCCAGGGAGCCAATGTGGTGAGATAAATTTAAGAGGACTTGGTCGCACGCAGGCCATGATCTTTGCCATCGAACGAATAAACAATAGCACAAGTCTTCTTTCAAACTTTTCCCTGGGGTATGACATAAGGGACTATTGCGAAAACGTCTCAAAAGCTGCAGAACTCGTTTACAAACTTCTAACCGTCGATTCTTGCGTCAAGTTCAAACAAAATAACACCGGAAAGAATGCAATTATTTCCTTGGTAGGCCCAGATGAATCTCGCACAGCAATGGTCATCGGTGGATTTCTCCAGATGCTCAATTTTTCGAGCATAAGCGGAACAACAACTAGTGCTGAACTTAGTTCACCTACCTATAACCATTTACATCGAACAGCGCCTTCGGATACTTTTCTTGCAACTGCGATGGTTGACTTGGTTACACATTTCAACTGGAGCTATATTGCCATCGTTGGACTAGATGATTCGTATGGACGAAATGGAGTATGGGCAGTGGTTAGCGAAAGTACGTCAAGAAAAGATTCGTTCTGTATTGCTCTGACGGAATTTATACGGCCAGAAAGTCTGAATCTCAGTAGTTTCAATATAGTTAAAAAGCTAAAACAGATGCAAAATATCAAAGTTGTGATCTTATGGTTATACGAGTATTTCCAAAGGAACTTTTTCGCAGAGGTACATAGGCAAAACCTAACTGGACGTGTATGGATTTTAAGTGCAGATTTTTTCCGATACAAATATCAAAGAAAGGATATCCTCGAGAGTTCCATAGCGTTTCAACACCACAATTTTGGCAACTTTGGATTCAAAGAACATTTAAAGGATATTTTGGTCAAGAAGCGCAACAACAAAAGTTTTTCTGAGTGGAGCGATGGTGCCAACGAAATATGGCATACTTTGGCGAGCAAGAAGTGCGTTAACGGCCAAATTGAACAGTGCTCAGAAGACTTGATTGAAGAAATCTATAGCTCCTATATTCCATATACAATCGACGCTGTATATGCCCTGGCTCATGCAATAAATATATCAACTCGTGACTTTAGCAGGAACAATTTTAACACCAATCCCGATAAATCGCCTGCAGTGAATGATTTTGACTTGCAGAAGCTCCTTCGAAGAGTCAATTTTGATGGACTAACAGGGAAAATCAAATTCGATCGATTTGGTGACAGAGGCTCAGCGCATTATGACATTGTCATCTTTAAAGACGTACACAAGGAAAATGTGAAAAGCTTTAAAAAGGTACTGGTAGGAGAATGGGAAAGCTCTATTGAAAATAAAACGGCGTTGATTTTTCACGAAGACCTGCATTGGAACACTCCATCTGGTCGCCCTCCAATATCTGAATGTTCGGAACTGTGTCCTCCCGGAACAAGGCAATCTGCTACGTCACCTTGTTGTTGGCAGTGCTTTCCGTGTCTTGGTGGAACCATCAGTCCATCCGCTGGTTCTAAAACTTGCACAGAATGCCCCAATGGAACAATGTCGAACCAGGCTAAAACAGAGTGCGTCGCTTTACCTTCCGCCAACATAAATTATGATACTGCAAGTGGAATTTTAATTCTTGCGTTTGCCGCGCTCGGTGTAGTCGTTACAATACTTTGTCTTTTTGCCCTATCGAGATTCTGGAATAGCCCCATCATCAAGGCTTCCAATCGAGAACTAAGTCTTGTTCTTTTACTAACAATTCTGTCATTGTTATCTCTGGCAGTCATTAATGTCTTTAAAACCACAGATGCAATTTGTAAAGTCATTTACCCTCTACGTTACGTGACCTATAGCCTCTGTCTCTCTGTGGTATTGGTTAAGGTGTTGCTTATTTCCAGTGCTTTCCAGACTCCCATCGTGGACAGTTTGATAATCAATTCTCTTCCCAAAAAAGCACAAGTTGCGATTGTTATAGCTTTCCTAGTCCCATTATTGGCTGTGTTGCTACCATGGTTGCTTCTGGATCCACCCTACAACATGCAACATATCAATCCGAAACGTTACACCTTTAACGAGTGCAAGGCATACTCCAGTTTAGTTGGTAAGTCTCTATTTTTGACAACATGTCTTTATGTCCTCGTCCAAATGCTTCTGTCTTCGTTCTGCGCCTTAAAGGTTAGGAAATTTCCTGAAAATTTTAGCGAGGCAAAACGAATCGCTTTTTCGATGTACATATTCTTTGTCTCTTTCCTATCTTATCACCCAGTAGAGTTTTCGATTGATGGATGGTATGTAACTGTTGTGGATTGTGTAACAACACTATTGAGTGCGTATGGTTTCCTTTGTTGCATATTTTTGCCCAAAATAGGCATTCTACTTTTCAGGCCAGAGGTGAATGATTTGAGTCATTTAAGAGCAGAAGTCACCCAGTTTTCGTTTGGATCAAGCGGCGTGCGCGTTAACTCTGGATAGCTCCAACCAGACAGTGGAATCGTAGTCATACAACCTGCAACACATTTAGCTGAAACGTTCACGAAGCCACTCTCAATGAGGGATTTCGAAATAAAATCGAAAATGAACTGTAGCTCGCTACAAAACCCTCCTCTCCCTCAATATATAGGCAGCAATCGACTCACATTTTGTGTGTAGTGCCTTCTGTTTCTTGACGCTATCTAACCAACAATTTTTTTCGGAAATCTCCACTGAATGCCCCAGTTGAACAATTTCCAATCAGGTTCAGACGGAGTGCGATAAAGTTTGTCACCTTACCTTCCGTTAACATACGTTATGTTGATTCGTAAGTTTGGGTGAAGTTCTTAAACGATTTTGGAGTCAAGTGAGTTGTTCATTCATTAAGGTATCAGTTGATGGATCGCGCAATACTGTTTTGCCATTTGATATCCATTTGGTGTTGTCAGTGTTTCCTCTCTTTCCCTACTTCCAATATCTTCATTTAATCCTCTCACATCCTAGCTATGGCTCATGGATATAACCCAACCTTTGACCGCCTCGATGTTGTCGATTTTCGATGCATTGCACATTTCTCATTGTAATGGTAGCCTACTCGTAATCTCGTGTATATTGTACTAAACCTTGCAGTTCATAATACGGTGAAAGGTTCTACTTTGACATTGTGCGCCCCAATCGAGTAGAAATAAGGGCTGAAAATTCCCTTGAGAAAAACAAAAAACACATGAAGTGAAGCTTTATAGGGTGCCGAAGCGGAAAAAATTTCCTTTGTTAATTAGTAATAGTAATAGTAATCAAAGTTTAATGTCTTCACGTGGGGCATGGCTACCCATGTTGCCCGAGCCAGAGGCTCATGTATGAAACGCAAGACAACAACAAACCCATCCCACCCCAGGGGAGGACATCTATCACACAGTAATCTCGTGTGTGAGAAATTAACGTCTCTTACCCCTAACCCTGCAGGAGACAGGACCTCCATTTATTCGTCCCTATCCGAGAAGACTAGAATATCTAACCCATTTCTTGATGTTATAGAAAGGCAGTATATTCTTCTCAATTATTTTAAGACCTTGAGTGTTTGTCCGGCCGGGGCTCGAACCCTCGACCTCCCGCACAACAGTCCAGCGCTCTATCCATTGAGCTAACCGGGAGGTGGGTACCCTTTCCTTTACGTTGATACGTATGTCCTAAGAATATAGGCTCTTATCAGTATGCAGATTGTTCTTAACTTGCAAAAATGCGTTCGAAATGGTATGAGTATTAGCAATTTTAAATTTAACGCCGAGTGCAGTGTATATGTGCTAACCAAAAGGATCATTACATTGTAATTAAAGAAATAAGTTCTATTAAGTGAGCAAATTACATGTATTCTCTTTTGAAAAAAAAAGTACATTGTAATGTCAAAAATACGTTCCAATTTGTCTTCTGTTTATTCTCATGTAAGATATTTTCATGCTGTGTACAATGAATGTGGGCTGATTACCGTGCAAATTCTTTTATAGACACAGCTCTTCTGGCAAAGCTCTCGTGGATGTCGTGAAAGTTGAATTAAGCGGTCTTTGAGCGCCAAATGTCCTTCATTCTTTTAAAGCCCTTTCCGAGCGGGGAGGGGGAACAGGGGACGATAGCCTGCGGGAGAACATGGGGCGGGAAGTGGGATCTCCAAGAGGGCAGAGAGCGGAACAAAAAACTGAACATTAGTCCATCGAAGATCTGGTTTATGCAATATCGCTCATTAAAATTGACATGACGGCATCGTATCAGTGTAAAATTGTATGTACAACTTTTAAACCTTTCTGCTGAGGTTTAAAAAGATTTGAACTTTTCGAACAAATCTAAATAGGTTTACAAACGAGATAATAAGCTGAACAACTAATATCAATCATTATCCAATTATGGTCCGTAGAGTACAAATAACGTGTGAGACAAGTACAAGTATCACGCCCAAGGGAAATATTTGAAAGACTTGTGTTATTGTTTATTCGTTCGATGGCAAAGATCATGGCCTGCATGTGACCAAGTCCTCTTAAATATATCTCACCACATTGGCTCCCTAGTCGTTCT